TCACAGGCTCCAACATGGCATTCAGTACCTGGCAAAGGTAACTGCCGCCTGGGAGCTCCCAGCACCTGGAGTGAGGAGCTGCAGTTAGAAAGGGACACAAGAAAGCCTCCCCTCTGTGGTACTGACCGATTCACTCTGTGCTCACATTACCAGCTACTTCATTTGATTATGCTTGGATGTGTTTTATGAGATGGTTGCAGTTAGTCTGGTCATTAAAGAAACATGTGCATTTCCATTACCAAAGTAGGTATCAAATCCTCGGCGAGTTGGAAGGCATTCTTTCCGGTACATTCCCAGATGCCACTTTCCAACCATATGGGTAATGTAGCCTGCTTCTTTTAGTAGCTGGGGCAAGAGTTTTTCATCCAGAGGAATGCAGCTGGGCTGACAGGGCCATATTATTTGGTGCTGTAAACCTGTGTGGATCTTAAAGAGACAAACATAAAATGATCAATTAATAATACTGTAACATTCCCAACAAACAGATAAAGTGACTGTTTAATTTATTAGACATATCTATAGACCTAATGTTTTAACTCTATTTCTGTACTGGTTTATGGATATTTCTGAAAGGTACTTTATTCACTTATTCAAATAAAGTAAAGGATAGAAACAGGATAGGGAGAGGAATGAATAAACACACTTAACAACTGCTAGATATTAAAGAAAGCATATATTCAGCATATACTATTAGAAATTATTATTAAGTACTCACTTCCTACCTCAAACAGATAGCCATAATGTGAGGTATAGATTTATCAAGGAAAAGCATTCAATTTCCGTGACATGAAAAGCAGGTGTTTTATGAGGAAGACTGCCTATAACCTTTCAAGACTGTAATTTTTTATGGATTATTCAATAATATAATAAAAGTAATTATTTTTATCTCTCATCCCCTTTATAAATACCTTAATTTCAAAAGAAAATGACCAATTTTTCCTTTCAAAAAGAGCCATCTGCCCCATAGGCTGGGAGGCGGCTCGAACAAATATGTCCAGGGTACAAGGTCCACACAACAATTAGCCTTCAAAAACCCACCACTTCCTGAATCTTGATGTAATATTAAAATAGAATAGCTACAATTAGATGAGAAGGCTATTATAAAAACCTTCCCTTTTCCAGCTACATATCTGTGTGAAGCCAAATATGCAACTTTTATCAAAACAACATTTGACAACAGATTGAACACAGAAGCAGATGTGACTATCTAGCTATCTTCTTTCAATAGAGAACACATACAAAAATATAAAACAGTATCACTCATTTCTTAACATTGTCTTGTTGTTTTTTTTTTTTAAAGATTATTTATTCATACAGAACTGGGGTGTAGGCCAGAGGTGCAGGAGCGGCGAGAGGTTTCACCAGAGACAGAGTGGGGAGCAGAACAGGCTGACTGACGAAGTACACTGCTGAGGGGAGCAGTGGGCGGGTCAGGAGAGGTCTGCCGCACCATGTGTGTCACTCAGGAAGTGGGGATCGACTCATGGAAAGTGGCTTTAGCTTCTTAGTATGGTGCTTTAACTCACTGCGCCACCAGGGAGGGCCCTCATCCTCTTGTTTTGGAAAATACCATTATCTTTTAAAAGGTATGTTAACATTTAATGGTATTATTACTCTATCTCAATGAATAAAAAGTATTTTTAATCTCTTTTAATTTCAATATGGTCAATTTTGAAAGGTGTAACCTACACACACAGCAGTTTTTTGGAGTCTTTGACAATATTTAAGTGCGTATAGTGGTTCAAAGACCAAAAAGTTTACCTACTGACAACATATTATCCAATAGTGACCACTGTAGTGAAGAAAAGAAAGTAGGAGAGGGAGAGAGCAACAGGAGTTATTTTTGAAGATATGGTGGCAAAAGAAAGCTTCTCTGAGGAGGAGATATTTCAGCAGTAATCTGAATTAAGTGAGAATGAGGATTTTGCAAAAATTCTGGGGCAAGAGCAATATGTAGGCATAAGGCATTAAACTATACAAAGGCCCTGAGAACTGAACTTGCTAGGAAAGTCTGAAGGCCTGAACGGAACCCCCTACATGGCTGCATGGCCCTGTGTACAGCCCATACCCTGACCCTCACCTCCACCCCCACTCCCCCAGGCTTGCTGGGGTTTCTTCCTTGACTGCCCAATCAAAAAACTTCACATCTCCTGTCCTTTGTCCTGTTCTCGCCAGGGAGTTGCTGTCCTGTGCATAAAGTGGTCCTGGGGTCTTGCATTCAACTCCTGCACCAGACCACATGCCAGCTTGCCCTAGTCCAGAAGGAAATGGTGATGGAAGAAATAGGGGCTCTGTCACCGGAGGGGGTGGAGAGAACAGTTGTCACTTAGTCATGACTCTGGCCCCCCTCAGCTGTAAGGTGATAACAAGAAGTGACAAATAAATGGTTTCTTTAAACATTCGTTTGTAAAGGATTTATTGGTTTTCAGAATTTAAAACAGAATGAAGTTCAGAGAATTAAATCCCATCCTGGCTCTATCACCAGCACATTCTAAATGCTCAACAATTGTCAGGTAAAAACTGTGAGCATTGGTAACAATAGCACATCCTGACTCCCATGAAAATGCAGGACATGTGCCTACACCTGGGTCTTTCTGGGACCTTGAGGCACAGCATATGAAGATCTATAAAAGCTATACTGAAACTACTCCTTGTTGACACTAAATACTAATTTAATGCTTATTCTCTTCCATTTAACTATTTCTCAGAGTGATTTCAGATTTTTATTTTGTTTTGTTTTAAATATGTGGCCCAAAAACACAAAGTAGAAATAAACCACAAAAAAATCTCTTGAACTCAGTCTTTTTTTCTAATTTGCTATAAGCTACTATATAGCTTCTTCATAAGTTTTGACACTGTCTTAAATTTAATGTTTTGTGTCTCTCTAGGGCTGACGCTAGTTGGATTTGCCCCTGCCGCTGCTTTATTTCACTATCACACATTTTATATATATATATATATATATATATATATATACATATTTTTTAAGATTTATTTATTTGTACATACAGAACTGGGGTACAGGCCAGCGGCTCAGGGGCGGTGAGAGGCTTCACCAGAGACAGAGTGGGGAGCAGAACAGGCAGATTGACGAAGTACACTGCTGAGGGGAGCAGCGGGCGGGTCAGGAGAGGTCTGCCATACCATGTGGTCACCTCTGGAGCAGGCAGGGATCGAACTCATGCGCAAGTGGCTTTAGCTTCTCAGTGCAGTGCTTTAACCTGCTGCGCCACCAGGGAGGGCCCACACATTATATATTTTAAAAGAACCAAATGGACTAACTTAAATGTAAAGAGGATTTATCTTAAAGGAGATGGATATATTTGTCTTGATTGTGGGGGTGGCTTCATTGGTAAATACAGAATACTTATCAAACTTTATGCTTTAAATATATGCAGTTTTTTGTAGGTCAAACATGCCTCAATAAAACTTTCAAAAATAAAAGTGAGTTTGTTTTGTATTGAGAGTTGTATGCCTCTCCTAGGAATAACCGTATTCCAATACCTGCATTGGGGCAAGTGGCAATGCCTTCCATCTGCCCTGCAAAACCACTCTGCCTTTTATCCTGCCCTACCTGCCCTGGGAAGCTGACTTTAGGGGACTCCAGTTTTCAGATTCTGACTGGGTTCACTTATCTGGAGGCCCCCAGGTGATTAGAGGGAGGGAGATGAGTGGCATCTGACTGCCAGACCCTGCCTCTTCCAGCAGGTCATTCTGCAGGCAGCACTGGCTGCAGGATGCGCTCCCCTGGGTCCTGGCAGCACCCCTTCCCTTCCTGCCCTCCTGGTCTAGAGAACGAACAGCTCTACCAAGTCACTACATTATCCTATGTGTCCTCTCCCTCCCCACTTCACCCCCATACATTCATACCCTTCAAAATAGTCCCTCTGTAAATAAATCTTCCCTAAATTATCCCAAAATTTTTCTTTCCAGCTGGAATACTGGATAAGGATGCTACAATACCTAGGAAACACACACACTCTCTCTCAGGATTTTACTGGTTAACATTAGAAGTTTTCTCAATCAAAAATTAACCCTGAGTTCAAAAACTCCATAATGTACATTAGTTGGCACCAGAGCAGAATAAGAAAGATAACATTTTAAGAAATGCAAAAGACCCAGTGGAAATAAATGCTCTGTGCAAATTTGTTAAATGGAAACCTTATCTATCACATGCAGAGCATTAACTCTGATGGCTATAAAGCACTGTCAAGGGATGCTGTATGATTCAGCTTTCGCAGGCCATGGCACCAAGCCAGGTGGTCAGCTGAAGCCTGCCTCTATTATCTACAATCATATGGAGCAGAGAATTTGTTCTTTTCAATTCCTGAGAATTTATTTGACGAAGTATTTTTATGGCATTACTGGGGAAGCAGAAGCCAAACTATGGAGGCCAGCCAAAAACATGTTTCAGTCTGCTCAAACACTATTTGAAGTGAGGAAGCTGTAATGTGTAGAGAAGCAGTAAACAGGCTAATGCTGAGCCAGTTCCGACTGAATACTTTATTTCAGTAGAGAACTACAAAGCTACACCATGCTTCATGGAGCAGAATGGTAACAGGGCACCAAAAGAAATCAACAACAACAAAACAAAACAAAACAAACAAACAAACAAACAAACAAAAAACAAGCATCCCCTTGTAAACAACTCCATTCTACCACATAAACTTCAGTCAGAATACCTGTCAATAGAGAAGGTTCTACAGATAATACACAAAAGCCCCAAGGATTCTACTGTGTGCAGCTGTTTCTTCTTCATTAAACCAACTGCTATCCTAAAAGACAACTTCTCCTAGGATTCCCTCCACTAAGGCAGTTTGCAAACTCAGAGGCTCATCTTGGGTTCCTTCCTGAGAAAACTGATTAGGACACTGGTTATAAACATTGATTTGATCCTGCAAGTTATCTGTGTTCTGTAGGCTAGAAGTTACTATGAATTGAAAAAGCAAATAGCAGTCTGGTGCGGGTAGAGAAGAGGGCTGCTCTGGCATCCAACCTGGGACATCAACCCTTTCAGAAGTTTAGGAGGTCTGCGATCTACTGATTCTCTTTGGAAATTCAGAGCATAATGTTTCAGCTACGCTTACAATAACCCCCACCCCCACCCCGGCAGGTTAGGTGAATCCCAGCTACACACACCGCAAGGACTGACTTCTCTCCTCACTTCAGTATTGTTGAGGTAATATCCATTGGAACAGAGGGAAGGCTCTATCTTGTACAAGGTAAACTTATATTCTCATTGCGCCCACACATTTGAGCAGCACCTTCTGCTCCAGTACTTGAATATTCAGAAAGCTAGGCAGCTGCATTCCACTTTATATACCAGAGAGCCTAGAGGGAAGCTTCCTGACTGGAACGCAACCACAGAACCTGCTGGTGGTGGGCCAGGAATTCAGAATTTCCAGCCTGCGCCTTGGCCAGTACACCATAGGCTTTAATCACGGTCAAGTACCACTCGTGCCACTTTACAGTTTATTCCTGGAGATGCCCCACAGAACAAATGGCTAGTGGAGAATCTGCTCGTTCTCCCCTTACGCCTTCTAAAAAGCGGTCAGCTGCCTGTTCTGTGGAAGCCAAGAGCTACAGAACACACATTATGTGTGTTAGGAGTCTGGCTCCGCCATCTGGCCCGGTCCTTCAGAACTCAGGCAGCAGAACTGGCTGGTGGCACTGACAGTTTTAAGGGTCTATTTATTTTGGTGTTGATTAGCAAAGATTGTAAATATCTGACCAAACCCACAATGGGATGTCATTTGTAAGAAGAATAAACAAGGCAAGAACTGTTAAGAGTGCCTTCCTCTGCATAGATTATAAATCTAACCAACATCCCAAAATGAAAAGGAAGCCCAAAATGAAGGGGGACATTTTTTTTTTTAGTAAAGTATGATTAAGGACACAAAAACAGACAGTGACAGCTTATGCTCGAACTTATTTTTAAAATAACAAACTTCAAAAATCAATCAAGGAAAAAAACCCCATAAGTCAGTGAGTCCTATTCAACTCAGCTCCAAACTTGGTTCCTTATTTCCCATTTCCTGGGAAGCAAAATAAGTAAAAGATTGAGGAATCTCTTTAAAGTATCTGCAATACTTGTAAAAAGGCTCTCAAACATTTCTTCCTTTCTGGCAAAAATGTTTCTTGGTTCTGACTAAGCTTAGGAGGGACAGTGACCTTTCCGACAAGGAGCCCTATGGACAGTCACCATTGGGATGTTCATCCTTCCCCAAACACCCCACCCCTTGTGCCAGGCTCTTCACCTCCCTTTGTCCCACTTTCAATCTTAACAAGAGTTCACTGAGGGTCAAACATAGGGGGGCTAGTAAGGAATGGGCAGGCAGGACACTGAGGACAAGGAGGAAAAGAAGAGGGAGGGAAGGCCCCACTCTGCAGAGTCCCTCTGCCCACACCATGGTTGCCCAGTTCTGCCTGCAGCAGTGGGTCTCACCTGCCCTCACTTGTAAAGCAACATTTGAAGTGAAAAATTACCCACATCTCTCATGCAGCATTCTTCTTATATTGCTTGCCTAAGGTTCTGCACCCAGGTGAGTAAAAAACTGTGAAAGTGTCATGCTTATCAATGTGATTAAGAAAAATGTAGGGGCCTCCCTGGTGGCACAAGGGGGTTAAAGCACCATGAATCTATCATAGCCACTGCGGCACAAGTTCGATCCTTGACCAGGGGGGTGACCCACGTGGCGCGGCAGCCCTCTCCTGGCCCGCCCGCTGCTCCCCTCAGCAGTGTACTTCGTCGATCTGCCTGTTCTGTTCCCCACTCTGTCTCTGGTGAAGCCTCTCACCACCCCTGCACCTCTGGCCTGTACCCCAGTTCTGTATGCATAAATAATCTAAAAAGAAGAAGAAGAAGAAGAAGAAGAAGAAGAAGAAGAAGAAGAAAAATGTGGCTTGGGTCCCTTAAGAAACCTCACAGTCATCTTTCATTGTTTCTATTCAGTGCCAAGGTTTAGTGTCTGCTGCAGTGGCCTCTGCGTCCCAAGGTAAGAATGTTCCCGGTTAAAGGCCAAAGTTAATTTTCTTGACTTTTTTCCCAGAAAGAAGTGTTTCCACTAAGGCCTGTTACTTTGGTTAGCTTTTAATCGTTTTAATCATTTCAAAAAGGAAGCAAGAGGACTTGGAATGACACATCAGCCCTAAGCGCTCACGGTAGGGAGCTCTTTGAGGACCTGCTCGTATTAAAACCCTCAGCTTAAGAGAGCTTCCCTTCACTCATTTACTTGCTCCACACCGCTTGCTTCTCCAGGCCGCACACACGCACGGCATTCTAATGGAGAATCAGATGGGAGAACAAACACCCACACTTAAATTATGTGCTAGGAATAATAAACAAATTTTATATCGAATAAAGCCAATTCATAAGAATATGAAAAATAATTATTAGAATATTGACATTTAGTATTTTCAAATCTTCTATTTGAACTAAAAGCAATATACACATTCTACTGGAAAAATTGAGAATTTTTTAAACTAATATTCTTAATCTTGAGATTTTTAAACAAAGGAAAACAAAAATAATATTCCTTATGGGTAAACATGCTTCCAAGGGATACCTAGAAACTAATAATTAGGGGCTATCTATGGGGAGGAAGGCTGGAAAACAGGATGAAAAGATTAAAAAACAACAAAAACACATACACTATTTTAAACCTTTTACATTAAAAACTTTCAGTGTGTTTCCTAAGGATAATTTAAAAGATAAGCTTATTTTAAAAAAATATAGTGATAAAACATAGAATTTATTTCTAATTGGAACTGCATGTATACAAAAATGCCACAGGGCACTTTATTGAGGCTCCTTAAATACAGTCATTTAGAACCCTGCCAGATGCTTTAGCCCATAGTGGCTCAGTGTGACACCATAGAAACAGGCAGAGCTGAGGTTTAGGATGTCATCAGGAGCAGGTGGTAAGGACACAGGACACCCCGCCTCTGATGCAGTTGGAGTTCATCTGGTGACGCCTCCTTTCTATTCTTTCCTCCATCACCTGCCTGCCTCCCTCCAGTTAGCTCCCATTCTCAGCTTCAGCCACAATGGCTTCCTCCATTCCTAAAACAAGTTCCTTCCTGCCTCAGAGCTTTTCTGTCTGTCATCCTCCCACTATATCACATTCTTCTTTCCCAGGGTCCTTGTCTATCTAACTCCTTTTCATTCAGCCCTCTGCCCTTATCACCTCCTTGGAGATACTTTCCCGAATCACTATGGGCTTTCCTACTTTATTTCCCCCCACATCTATGGCTCCACCTTCTAAATTTATCTTATTTATTCATTATTCGTCCCTCCTTTTGGTCACTCCTTCCTCTCACCTGACAGAAATAAACATTGGCAGACACCAGAAAATCACAGGATAGTACAATGTTCAGTATAAACAGTCTCTCAATAAATGTTGAATAAAGAACAAATGATGGTGATGGACGAAAAGCTTTCCCTCTAACATCAGGAATAAGATGTCCATTCTTGCCACTTGTATTCAGTGTCTACCTTTAAGCCCAGAAGA